GAAGCAGTACAGAAAGCAAGGGTTTTATCGGAGCAAAGCAAAAAGAAAAAAAGAGAAAGTGATCGCGTTAAAGGCAGAACGAGGATCAACATTGGGCCAGTGTTTTCTCGCTGGCGTGAGCTGAAGGAGGAGGAGGGGTGCCCGAACGATGCGGACTTGGCTGTCATGTTTTTGGACTAGTAAGTATATTGCTTGCATACTATCTCTTTGTTTTTTTTTTGTCTGTCTGACTATGTTATGGAAGCTATCTTATCCTCTGTTTATCTTGGGGCTACATACTTGCAAGTAAATATAAGATGTACAAAATCATTTTTTAGGATACCTAACATGTCTGTGATATTCGTTATTTTTCTTACCTCAAGCTATAATGCAAATCGATTTGTAAAATTTGCAGATTCATTTAAGATAGCTTGATATTGTAATATTGACAATATATAGTTATCATCTACCACTCAAACATTGCATTGAAGTATATAGATTCAGTAAAACGGTAACCAATAGACTAGGCTACTATAATGACGCTGGCTTGTAAACGTGAGCATCGCGATCATTTGTCGTTAGATTAAAAAAAACATGAAATTATATAAAGACATTTCACACGTGATGCAAGCAGAACACCTGCATGTGACGTCCTCCTACTACAGTGTTCAGGGCTATCATGGTTGTCAACAAATGCACATGCATGTAGGATGACAGAGTTTACGACAGTAGTAGAGGACAATACTGTTTCCCAACTGTAGGGGGACCCCGAGAGAGGTGTTACTTTAAATATTCGCAAAAAACACTCAGGTAAGATGACATAACATAAGAACAGCCTTCTATTTGTAGAGATTGCTATTTTCATGCATTGACTCTTTCACTAAGCTGAACAGCCAATCAGACTTCCCTCTTTCACGACAGCCCGCCGCCGATTCAACATGTCGAATGAGTCGAAGCAAAGCCGACGAGGAACCTTGCAGAACACACAGAGGAAACTTTGTCGGCCGACGCACAAAAACTGCCCAACGGCTGATCGCCGGCTTGGTGTGTTCCAGGTTTAAGGCAATGATGTATCTCAAAAGTGAACTTTATGAGCAGAGCAGCAGTGCACAAACCACAGGTTCTTTTTTGCACTGCACAGTAAGCTTTAAAAAAAAGATTTCTGAAAAGTGTCAATGAAACTGAAAGCCTAGAGAAAACTAACTAATTCCCACACTTTCCGTGACAAGTTTCAGCACTTTCAAGGAAACCACTGACAACATTGTGTTAAATCCTAAGAACTAACATTGTGAAAATACATGATATAAATTTGTTTACTTTGAAAGAAGGGAGCTGCTGTCAAGAGCATCATTCTGGCTTGATCAATCAAATAAGCATGCATTACATTACTCAATGAGCTAAAACAACTGTGTACAATGTAAAACTCTAGGTCCGATTATCAACCTGCTCTTGAGCAAACAAAGAAATAAGAGAGCCATAATAAATGACACACTTTCAGATTAGGAACAGTGTCACCACCCTAACATTCTTCATTAGATTCAGCGACTGATCTTGTCACCAATATGATAATGGATGACACAGAAAGCAGTCACAAACATTTATTGTTTAAGCTGCTCTAAGCGACGTCACACATTTTTTAGGCCCAAACATTTTTTGTCACATACAGCAAACATCTCACTATCCGCTAGCTACCTGTCCCCTAGACACACTGTAACAAAACACGGTCTGCACACGACTCAGGCTCCACGAATGCCGACAAAAACAAACTGCAGCAACCCGCTCCACGAAACATAACAAACTGTTCCAGCCAATAACTGACAAGAAGGCCCTGGGGGTGGGGTTTAGGGGGTCAGTGCAGATGAGGAGGAGGGAGGGTCTATCTAGCCTCCGTTTTGTTTGAAAATACTTTAAACGTCAACAAGAAGTCACGTCACCCGACATTGCTTAGAGCACCTTTAACTGTGATTTTTACAATGTGTGCAGAAGGAAGCTGTAGATACATGCATTCAAAAAACTGTACTAATGCAAGGCAATAACTTTTTTTTTTTTTACCCAAACGCTGGGTTGAGCATGTGGAGTAATTTTGTTGTTTTAATTTTTCCATGGTTGGGTAAATTTTGTAGTGCCGAAGTGATGACGTCGCTTTGTAGGACAACTCGGAAGCTAGCGGTGCATGGGTTCCCTCGATCAAATAGCTATGTATTTTGCTCATAGACTTTTAGAAAATCACAAAAACTAAGATCTGTGTTCAACAAAGAGTTATGAACCTTACACGTTTTGTCTATCATGATAATCTTTACAATTTAATCCACAATTTATACATTTTGAAGCCTATATAAAGTTTTTAAAAAACACAAGCAGACACAATAAAGTTAAAAAAACAAAAACAAAAGCAGGTTATAACTGTGTGTTCAATGTCATAGATCAAAACGTGAACAAATTTAGAGGCTTTGTTCACCACAGACCTTATTTCAGGCGATTTAACAAAAACCCATTCAAGAATCCTTTAGCGTGAGGGAACCGGGAGTGCTAAAATACTAACTCACTCCGTTCCGTGTTTTGGCCTACAGAGTGACGTTGTAACTTCGGCACTCTATTGGGTTAGTGGCTGGTCAATCTTTGAAACAATACACCCCTCCCCCACCCGTCCTTAGACACAACAAACCAGCTGATGGGTTACACAGACAGCAGGCTTTTTGGCCCTCATTAGGCCACATTTCATTGGTATGGTTAATACACATTTTATTTCATCAATAAAGTCTTTACTGTGCTGTAAATCGTTTAATGTTATGCAATAGCCTACAACATACAGGGATGTCAGTCAGCTAAATGAGTCAATCAACATTGATCTTCTCGCATGATGGAAACAACTTTTTCCTTGAATAAACTGAGTTTTATTCGTTATCGAATATTAGTAATTTTGGATGTTAAAATATGCTCTCAGGATTCTGAACTTGTTTATGTGCAGGTTATTAGGAGGAGCCTGTCAGAAACAATAATGAAATAAATATGGTCAAATTTTATTAACTATTTAATTTATTAACTCATTAAATAATGCAATATTCAATATGTGATACAATAATGTTTAAATTATCTTTAAAATTATAACCTACTACATACGTGTTTCACATTCTTTTTGTGCAAAGGAAACATCCCTACAACTTCTTAAAAGTGAACACCTCTGTAGCATAAGAGGTGTTATTTTAAGTCATCACTGTAAACCATGGGGTATAGGGTTTCAGGAAGGCCTACAACAGAAACTGAATAAAAGTTATTAAGCCAAGAGCAGTGAGTGATTTTATATTTATCTTTTGTTCATGACCCAGTTATTGCAAGCCGTTGTGAAATGCGATATGTATATTGTGATACATTTGCGATATTTCGATATATTGTGCAGCCCTACTGTATAACATGAGCCCCTTTCACACAACGCGTTGATCCCGGGAAATTGCCAGAACGCCTTCTGTGTGAACGCAAACACGACCCGGGATTGATAACGGCATCGATGCCGGGTTAGGGACCTAGTAACATTGCCGGAATCAGTCCCGGAACGCACGCTGTGTGAACAAAAGCCAGGACCACAGCCGTAAGGGGTGTGTCATAGTTATGATGCTCGTGCCATCGCGCGACTCTGTTGCTCTAGAAGAAAGTTTGTGTTCGTCATCAACAAAGAAAGGACGAACAAATGTCTGCAAACTGGAATGAAGCAGAGACCAGGAGCTCCTCACGATCCGCGGTGAAGCTGAGATCGTTCACCAGCTTTGTGGAACAGTATGCACGTTTTCGACGCGTATGTAACACGTCTCATCCTGACGTCATGCGTCTTTCTGGGATCTTTACGGGCTGAGTGTGAACGCACTCACAGATCCTTTTTACTTACTGTTGTGTGTTGTTAATCTAGTAATTTTGTGTGAAATTTTAATTTTTCAAAGCATAATTTGATTAAAATGACTATTGCTGGCTTAAAATGAACCATAAAGTTCATTTTAAGCCAGTGATAGTCATTTTAATCAATTGTTGATTTTAATTAAAAAAACAACCCAGCACGTTGGGTCAAACATCTAACTCAACCATCTGGGTAAAACAACCAAATTGTGTTTTTAGTGTACAATGCATAGGTCGCAATTATTCTCTACAACTAAAAACAAAATTATGCAGTGCCGAAACAGAGTGAAAATACAACACGAGACAACATATCTCATGAAGAAAGGTGCTAAAGTTATATGGCAAGCCCATATTAAAATATAAATGGCATAACAGCTTGTCAGCAACAGAATTCCTTCCCTTCACATTCTGCAATACAAGGAAGTATATATCATCTGAAAGCTGCCTACCTACTGTCAAAAATATAAAGAAATAGTGCAAATGCTAAAAAGCTAATACCTGTATCAGTGTAAGTTACTGCAATAAACAGTAAGAAATATTATATAATATATATTATATAGAACTATATTTTATATAAATATACAAATGATTTAATGTATTAATTTTGCAAAATCTTATTTTAAAACTTTTTTTTATTTTATGAGTAAAAAGTGTGCATCACTTTACAAGGTATGAGGAAAAACCAATTATAGCGTATACTGTGTGTGTGTGTGTGTGTGTGTGTGGGTGTGTATTGCAGTGTTTTCAATATTAGTTAATGCTTCATTACATTATTTTACTGGCGTTTTATCTTTGAGTTGATAAGACAATGTATTACATCATTTTTGAGACTATCATGTGACCTTTCATTGTAGCATAAGGTTTATGACAATAGCTGATAGATTCTATACTATTATTTAAGACGTATAGTTATAAAAATAATCTAATCCTTGCAACTTCACTGTATTTTACGGTAGATTTCGATAAACAACTGCAGGTCATTAACCAACAACAGAATGACTGAAGAATGGGCCTACAGCCTCAACCCAACAGATAGTAGAAAGCTTACTAGGATTTGAGAAACAGCCAATAGGATGATGCTTTACCATCATGAATTACTAACATAAAATATAGATGTGTGCGAGATGAATGCTTACTGGTTGCTGGGCGGCGCAGAGAGTGGGAATACAACCTCCTCTTCCTCATATTCTGGCCCATCCTGTTGATCACTTTCATCCACACTTCCCTGCGCCCCGATTCCAGACGGCAGAGGGGGCGGCGGTAAAGGTGGGAAGACAGTGGGCCCGTCGGTGGGGGACATCCGGCTGCTGCCCGGCCCATCTGAGGAGGGAGACTCGCATCCAGCAGCTCCTCTCCCCGTGAGATCTTCTCCTCCAGCGCTCGGGTAGATCATCATGTCAGGAGCCGGCGCTCGCACAGGTTTGCTGTAAAGAGGAAAGTGGGTCGAGTCGGGGCCTCTGCTGCCGTCCGATCCCCTGTCCTCGCCCCTCACCTCCATGCAGGAATCTTGAAGACAGCCTGAGCTTCTTCTCCAAGTCGGTCAAAGCTTCTTCTGCTTCCAGTCTTTTAAAGCAACGGGAGAAAGTTTCCTGGAGAAGAGCACGCACACTCTCTCTCTCACACACATACACACACACACACTCACTCCGCGGCTAGCACATGAGTTTAGGTCTTCATTGTTTCCTGAGTTTCACTAATAGAAGACGGGCTTTTGAGAAGTGATACAGGAGAATTGTCCGATTAGATGAGAGGATGGTGTGTCGAGGCCCTGGTTCGGACTGGTGTCAGTTGTGGTCTTTTATTGTCAGTCTTTCGGGGTTGTTATTTTGTTTGCATTGAGTTCAGAAAACGCGCCGATCTGCTACTTCGGACGCTTCGCAGATGACCGCGGACGTCCGACACGTTTCTCCTCAATCGATTCCGCTCAAGGAGTACGTTAAAGAGTTTTCCTTTGCAGTAAATTGTCTTTTCGTCCCGAGATTGCTGGACTGGTGAAACATTTGCCACAGCTGCTCCCAGTCCCACTCCTCTCCCCAGCGCGTCCCCGCTCATGCGCAGACCAAGCTAGCCGATCACCGAGCCGATGCATTCACATCAGTGAGCTCGGCGATCTGGTAGAAGGAATGAAAGAAAGTAGATATTTGCCTATTTAGCCTTAGGCTATTCAAAACACGTCGTCTCACCTTCGATCCTGAAGTAAATTTTGACCGCAGCTGAATTTTTTATATATCAATAGTCTGCCATTTTAACCTAGGCTGATTCAGTGTGCTGATAAACTTGTTGTTGTTATTGTTTTAGCCTACCATAGCTGAGTTGTCTTATTTCTGCATGAAATAGCCTGTGTTTTGACACCGTGGATATTATGTTCAGATCCCTGATCCCTGTAAATGTCTCATTCATGAATAGCTTAGATATTTTCAATTTGTGATAGTATTTAGTTCCGTTTAAGAAACAAAAATTATACAGACTTATCCTGAATCTGTTTAATTGTTTACACGGTAGCCTATTGTAGACTTAGGCCTATAGCAGGCCTATGTTGCTCTTAAAATTAATTCGAAAACTGATTGCCCCATGAGTGAACTCCACTATGTGACAGCTTTTTTTCTGAGAGTCAATTTATTTTTCAATTTAAAATGATTTATTATTTTATTTAACCGTATATTAAAACAGGAATTAAGTAAACAGTTTTAAATATTATTTATTTACTTTATTTTTTTATGTTTGAATTATTATTAAATTGACAACTTTATTTCAAACTTATTTTTAAGCGTTAGTTAAGCGACCTATTCATAACACTGCATGGTGTTTATATTGTAATAACTGGTAGCTATCCAAATAAAAACGTGAGTCTAACCGGAGCTAAATTAGGCTAATAACACTTTTCCTAAGCTAAACCCTAAAATGAGATAAGAACACTCATGTCCCATACACCGCACGACCCAGAGTGTTTACACATCAACCAACAGGAGGCAGTAACACCGTTTTTCCACTTTTAATGCCGAACAAAGAAAGAACTACTCAGGCAGGGCCCTATTGCCTTACACATCTCTCTCAACAACGGTGAGGGACACATTTTTACATTAGGCAGTAAATGAACCAAGAACATCTAATCAACTTGAACATTACACACATAACTTTACTATAACAACAACTTAAAGATCTTGCTGTAATAACGCATAAATCAACTCTCAATAAACAATTACCCATAATGCACCCAGCTGCTAGCGCTGACTGCCAGGTCATTACAATAACCCCCACCCAAGAGGGTTAGTGTCCCCACAACCCTAATCTCCCACAACAAAATCTAACAAATGTCCCGGCCGGCGTCGAACACGCTTCAACCTCCCCTGTGAAACGCCAGGCTCAGCCTTGAGTCCATCATTGTCCGTTTCGGCGCTGGGAGGGGATTTTGGGGAGCGACTGTGGCCTTCATCAATCTTTTGCTCTGGGGCCAGAGGGTGGTATGGAGCCAATCGGTCCTTATGAAGTACCACCCGTCTACCCCGTCCAGGCATTCGGACCCGGAAGACCACCTCGGAAATTTTGTCCAAAACCTCCCCAGGTCCCTGCCAATGATGAGTCAGTTTGGGTGACAACCCCCGCTTCCTCTGGGGGCAGAACACCCACACTTTGTCCCCGGGCCCAATCGTAGGCCCGTGGGCCCGGGCATCGTATGCCCGTTTCTGGCGGGCTCCAGCGTCCCTCAGAGCCTCCCTGGCCATTTGATGGACTGTGCTCAGACGTTCCTTCAATTTCCTGAAGTAATCCAATTCTGGCCCGCCAGTAATCTCTGGCTCGGGGGGTGACCCGAACACCAAGTCCACTGGCGTGCGGAGCTCCCTCCCAAACATCAGTGCCGCCGGTGTGCACTGACTCGACTCCTGCACAGCTGTCCTATATGCCCACAGTACCAGAGGCAGATGCTGATCCCAGTCTCTCTGGTGCTGACTGGTCAAGATGGCAAGTTGGGTGGCCAGGGTGCGGTTAAACCGCTCAACAAGTCCATCGCTTTGCGGGTGGAGGGGAGTGGTTCTTGTCTTCTTCACCCCCAATCGCTGGCACACCTCACTGAACAACCGGCTCTCAAAGTTACGCCCCTGGTCACTGTGAAGTTCATCCGGCACCCCAAACCGGGCAAACATCTCGTCCACTAGTCGCTGCGCCGTAGTGGAAGCACTCTGATCTGGCACTGCATATGCCTCTGGCCATTTCGTAAAATAGTCCATAGCGACCAGGACAAAACGGTTACCAGCATCTGTGATGGGAAATGGACCCAAGATGTCCACACCAATCCTCTCCATAGGTGCCCCGACTAGGTACTGTTGTAATGGCGCATGAGAGCGTTGACTGGGTCCATTCTGTGCCGTGCAAATATCGCAGCAATGAACATACATCTCTGTATCCTGCCGACATCCCGGCCAGTAGAAACGCTGCCGCAGCCGCCGCACTGTCTTAGAGTTTCCGAAATGGCCGGCTCCCGCTGCCCCATGAACCCAACGGAGGACCTCCGGCCGCAGAGCGTGGGGAACCAGGAGTTGCAACCGGTCGATCCCCCACCCGGCGCCTGCCACCGCCTATAGATCACGCCATCGTGGAGCTCCAGGCTGCCCCACTGAGAATGAAGCGTCTTGATCTCGGGCCCCTGGGAGGACACAGCTGGCCAGTCTGGACATGTTTGGGCCTCTAACCAACCCCTGACCTTCATCAGTACCTGATCATTCGCCTGTTGTTGCCTCAGCTGCTCGGTGGTGAACGGCTCCCCATCTCCACGGGTGTCACCCGGCCTTACTGCTGCTGACGATGGCTCCAGACATCGTTCTTCCTGGCGACTGCAGTATCGACATTCGTCCGCAAAGCATGGACGTCTGGAGAGGGCGTCAGCGTTAGCATGCTGCCGCCCCGGTCGGTGTTGAACCTCAAAGTCGTACTCTTGAAGAATCTCGAGCCACCTTGCCACCTGACCCTCCGGCTGGCGGAAATTTAGCATCCAAGTGAGGCTAGCGTGGTCTGTCCTCAGTGTGAACCTTGTGCCCAGGAGGTAGGGCCTGAAGTGGCGGACGGCCAGGACCACCGCTAGCAACTCCCGTCGGGTGACGCAATAATTTCTTTCTGGCCGACTGAGGCTGCAACTATAGTAAGCAACCACTCGCTCTCCATTCTCCCCCCTCTGGGATAGTACGGCTCCGACCCCCACGTTACTGGCATCAGTGTCCACAAGGAACGGTTGGTTAGGATCAGGGTAGGCTAAGACAGGAGCGTCGATGAGAGCCGCTTTTAACTGTCGAAAGGCCACAGCACAATCCTCAGACCACCCAAAACGCCGGCCCTTGTTTGTCAGCTGATGTAAGGGGCTGGCAATGGTAGCAAAGTCTCTGACGAACCTCCTGTAATAGGAAGCCAGGCCCAGAAAGCTCCGCAGCTCAGTGATGTTGGTTGGTGGGGGCCAGTCCCTCACCGCGGCCACCTTTGTTGGGTCGGTAGCCACCCCGCTCTCACTGACCACGTGTCCCAGGAATTGCGTCTGGCGGGTGAGCAAGTTGCACTTGGCTGGGTTCAACCGCAAACCAGCACTACGGATGGCTGTCAGGACCTCCCGTAAGTTGTGGACAGCCTGGTCAAAGTCTCTGGCATGGACCAACAGATCGTCCAAGTAAACCACACAGCGGGTGCGGGGAATGTCTTTAAGGACCCGCTCCATGAGCCTTTCAAAGGTGGCTGGGGCATTACACAGTCTAAAGGGCATCACTTTAAACTGCCAGAGTCCTTGCCCTATCGTAAATGCAGTTTTGGGCCGGGCTTCTGCCGCCAGCTCAACTTGCCAATACCCACTGCGCAAGTCCAAAGAGCTAAACCAACAGGATCCAGCTACATAATCCAATGCGTCATCAATGCGCGGCAGTGGGTATGAGTCCTTGCGGGTGACCGCATTTAGTCGCCGAAAGTCCACACAAGGGCGCCACGCCCCAGTTTTCTTCCGCACCATGACCATAGGTGCAGCCCAGGGACTGTCTGAGGGCTCAATAATGCCGTTAGCTGCCATTTCTCGGATCATTTCTTCAGCAGCCTGGCGCTTGGCGAGAGGCAGTCTATGGGGGCGCAAGCGAATGGGAGCAGCAGGGCCAGTGTCAATGTGATGCTGCACCAGAGCTGTTCTGGTACAGTCCTCCTCACGGGCTGCAAAAATGTCCATAAACTCTCCCAACAGGCGTTGCAACTGCTCCTGCTGCGGTGTGCTCAGATGCTCACTGCTTCGCCGCCCCAACTCCTCAACAGCAACAACAGTTTCAGGTGATGGGGGGGCGGATTGAGCGTGCGGTGTTAGTGGTGAAGATGTATTGGTCTGGGCTCCAATACCCCCCCTGGTTTCCCCCTGAGTCTCTGCAGCTCTTGTGTGGCGTTTGGGAGTCGGAGCTTTTCCATGATGGCTCCGGCCCAATCGGAGCGGCACAGTCTCATTATCTAGGCATAGGGCGGCCCCGGCACGTCAACACGTGCTCCCCAGTGGGATAACAAGTCCAAGCCAATAATGCACTCATCTCTGATATCAGCGAGCCAGAACTCATGGTTCGTCTGGCTCATCCCCACCACCACCGACAACAGCTTCTTTCCAGGCATTACTGTCCTTTCACCTGTGACGGTGAGCAGTTCGGTACTGGTGGGGGTCCAGTCCTCCGGAAGAGGACCGGCCGTTCCAGACAACAGTCCTTTGCGCAGCAAGCAAATGGTGGACCCCGTATCCACCAGGGCGCTGCAGGGCTGCCCGTCAACAACACAGTCCAGGTACAGTCCTCTGGCAGACCCGCAGCGTCCCACAGTAGGGCAGTCATTGTGGAGGGGTACTGAAGAACGGGGTGAGGGTCCCCTCACTGCCTCACTCCGAGGTCGTTTCCCGGGGGTGACATTGCCCGGGGCCGGGGGCTCGGAGCAGGGCAGTCCCTGGCGAAATGCCCCGGTTCTCCACAGCGGTAGCAGTGGTCTAGCCTCGTCCTCCGTCGTGGGGTCTCCGCTGGTTGAACTCGGCTGACCTCCTCCTCGGATCGGGCCACGTCCACCTC